GCTTATAAAGCAGTGTATTCAAGTGTGTGGATTCAGCCTGGTTTGTGGTAAGTTTTCTTCAGTGAATTTATACCTGCAGTCACTGCCGTTCTTCTGGGAAATCACGTAAGCACATGTTTCCTTTAGAGGGCTTCTGACCCCTTTTGTGTTCTTCTCCTTAATTTCTTTGTCCTAAGTAAGGTGATATTAAAAGAAATCCTTGGCGGTAATCATTCCCTGGGAGCTTTACAGAGTGTAAAGGATAGAAGAAGTTTCTGCTGCTTCTAAATTAAAAGCAATTGCTCAGACTCTTGCAAGTCTCCAGGAGATGACATGTCCGCTAAGAATGAGTGCAGCCCTGTGCATGAGCAAACTGAATGCTGGGGAAAGAATAATGTGATTGTTAAGACACATCCTTCAGTTTAATAAACCATTTTGAGGAGAAGGATCTGTCTCAGATTAAAAGTAGTCCTTGGGAAAAAAAAAAACAAACAAACCATAATCTAAACTTTAGCATGAAAGTAAGCACTCTTCTTGCTTGAAATAAACATACTTTTCTTTCTTCTGTAGTACTGGGTAACTTCCATAGTAGGTTAAAACTACTGTAAATCAATCATGTGTGAACAAGGTTATTATATTAGCAGTATTATTAGGAATAACAAGCTTATATTCTTTGAATTTATAAGCATGCATGTTTTATTTCCTAAGCTAGTTTTTCCCTCAGAAGAGCTTGTCTTGTCTGTAAGACCTATTTGTAATATCATGTTATATGCCATAAAATGAATTACTACCTTTGAGCTCTCAGTTATTCAGAAGTCGTAGCAATACATCTCTCCTGGATTTTCTGGCTGGTTAATGTTAGGGGCTTCCTCCTGCTTTCAAATGATTGGTTTGGGACTGATTATCAAGTCATATTGTCATAGTAAATTCGAATCTGTAGTAAGTCTGAATCTGCTTGCCACTCTGTTCTTTGAATCATCAGAACTATATTCCATCTGTGTGTTTTACATTGGGAACCCTATGCATCAGTGCCATTATATTCCCAGACACTGCAGAGCTGACATCCACCCACCCATCCATCCATCATCTATATTCTGAAAGAGATTAAAACATCGATCACACAGACCCCAGGCCCTGGATGGTGTATGGTTGCCATGTTCATTTTCACCCTCTCAGTACTGTTCTTGTGATTTCTAAAGATGTAGGATCCTTGGTATTTTGGGGACTGCTGCAGCTGAACACAGCATTATCTGTTTAGGACCACACCATTAAAAAATCAACTTCTAATTTATTGCTTCAATTATAGACCTGCTTGATAGCCTGTGACACAAGCTGAACTCATGTTCAATAATTAACGTGAAATAAAAGACAGTGTTACATGGCCCAGATAGATTAGATGTTCTTTATTTAATCCTGTCAGTCAGCCACAGCTGTTAAAATTTATATCCTCATAAAAGAAGGTACCTATGCTGCTGGAGGTTTTCAAGCTAAAAGCAATTCATGCTGGAATAAAGTATACATCCAGAGCATATATCACTCAACAAGACAAGAAATAAGCATCCATAAATATAATCAGATATTTATGTGGGCATATGCTTACACAAATATGACTTTTTGCCACATTGTTATAGAAATTTTTACAGTTGTAAGAAGGAATTTGATATTGAGATCTAATGTTCTTTATATTTTAGTTTCTAACTAACTCCTCTTACGCCTTTGAAAACATACCCTAATTTAGTGAATTTGATAATACATGCCCATATATAATCGCATACAACCAAAGATGTGGATTCTTGGCGATTTTTAAATTATGCTTTGATTCGGTGCAAATTTCCGATTGAAATACTTACCCATGGGACAATATAAATAAAAGTAGATGAATCTCAGGATTGTTTAGCTTTGTGAAGCAGTTGAACTTTTGTAAAACTTGGCAAGATAATAGGAGTGCTGAAAAGACAATTAGTCACACTGGGCGTCAGCGTTAGGAAGATGCAGAGTTGGCTGCTGTGCCACAGGAACAGCATAGTCCTCATTCACATGTAGGACTTAATGGGAATCCACAGATATTAAATGAATATTCCCATTGGGAAGGACACTCTTCTCCTTTTTGTGTGGAAAAGTCAATATCTCATCAGGGAACCCTTCAATACAGAATATTTTGAGTGAGCATATGATAAATAATATTCTTATCTGCACTTGGGATATAGGGAAAATGATTTTCCTGGTATAATGAGTAATAAGTAGAACAAAGATCACTTGGGAATAAAATACAGCTATTAGATCCATTTGATAATTTCCATCTGGATGGCATTTGCTTCTCTCTGTAAATGGAATAGGAGCTGCCTATTTCTGGGCAATCTGTTCCATTTCTTTTACAGGAAAAGACAGTTTAGCTGTTCCTTCCATATGGGCATACATTATTACATCTAACAAACATGTTCATCTCTCATTTTAGCCAGACCCTCTAAGCACTCTTAATTCCTGTGTGGGTTGGGATGGGGATTGAATATCCTATTTTCTTCTTGTTTCCTCTTCACAAAGCAATAAGGAATGGAGAAGAACCACATTATTCTGTATAATTAGGTGCTAGTTAGTTTGATAAAAATAAACTTTACTTGAGGGAGTGGAAATCAAGATAGCTATAAAGGTAACCGTGTAATCATTGCTTCTCTTGGCCTGGTGATGCTGTATGAACACTGGTCTGCAAGTTTAGCTATCGTGGGCTTCAATTCATGCTAGTCCTGTCATAAATTAAGCTGGTTCTGTTTTAGTACTCACTCTTCTTTAAAACAGAAAAATATTCTAAGGGTTAAGAAAATCACTATAGTTGTTTTGGCTAACAAAAGGGGGGGGGAAAAAAGGTCACAAATTAAGAAACTAAAGAAAATACTGCAGATAAGAATATGGTGTTTTAGGACTGCACCTCTCTCATCTCTCCACTGCTAGTGACCCCTGGATACTGGCTGTTCTCTCTTTTTTGCTTTGGTTTAGCTTGCTGGGCTCTTTCATCAGGGAGTTTGAGCTTTGTTTTACCACACCCAGTATCCTATGGACACTGCTGGTCTCAGTGTGCCTGGGCAGCTTGACTGGAAGCTCATCCACAGAACAGTTTGAAGTTAAAGCAGCCTTTTGTTGCTGTCACTGATACACATTTGCACAATCACTGAAAGTTGTCACTCGGCATCAGATCCAGGATGCTATTTTTAAAAAAGGGTGGGGATAAAAAAAACAAAAAAAAAAAAAAAAAGGAAGATACGTGGAGTATACTTTCTGATCTCCAGAATTTCATGAACAGTTCTTTTGCATTTTCCATGTGAAATGCAGTCTCAGCATGCTGGAGGCCTTTGTTGCTTCATAGCATACAGCCAGAATTAGAGAGCTTCAGGTGGGTTGAGTCAGACTTGGTAAATGATGAGACAGCAAAACACGTTGTCTGTTCGGGCTGGGGAAGACATGTGCAGCTCTATGGAGCCTGGATGCCAAAGGGCTTATTGGGGAAAGCAGAAGAAAAGGGTTAAAATGAAGAAACAGATGCTGTCTAGTCAGGAATTCACATTCATTTTGTTTACTCACCTGGCTATTGAGGAAACCCCGTGAGAAATAATGTGTGCTTTCAGCTGCTGACCTTTCTATGAGACTGTGACAAATACAATGTTTTGTTTTCCACAGAGAGCTGATGTGTGTTACTGCTGCGTCACTTCAGTTACAGCTGTGGATTTTCTTCTTCTCTGGAAGTAGCCTTAAATGAGACAGAAGTACTACCTGATTCGCTAGCACAAATTAAACTGTCAGCTGAGTTTTGCTTCCTTTGCCACAGCTCTTAGAGCTCTCTCTTTGCTCTTTAAGATTTGATCCAAATAGGTCATGGCTGTTTCAATCCTGATGTGTGTGCCACCTTGGCTCGGCTAATATCTAACCCTTCAGCAGTTGTTAAGGGGAGTCACATCATTAAGAATTTATTTTATGCCTTGAAGCCTTTTTCAGCCCTTCCAATTTCAAGATGATATCAGCTACTACTGGCAAAAAGGGGTGCTGGGCTGCAGGTGTCAGTGCTGGGATGAACAGGCTGTACCTGAGTGGCACCTCACACATGTTTTGGACATCCTATCAGCAGTTGAGGTCCACCATTCTGCTTATTGGTGCAGTTATTGTAGGAATAATTTCATTAAATTCTTACTTGAGTGGTCACATCCTCCTGTATTCTACAGGCATGTACTAGGAAAGGCAAATTGCCATTTTTTTTTAAATGTAGTTTCTTGTGCTTACAGAATGAGACCTGCATGTGGATAGAATGGAAATATGCTTGCAGACAGAAAAGAAAGACTAAAAAATAATAATAAAAGACAATAACTGAAAGCAGTTACTTAGAGGAAAAGACCAGCGCAGTCTGATAGTCTCCAAGGCCTTGATCATTTGCAACTCCATGAATTCTTGAAATAGTATCAGTTCAAATCCAATCAGTGAACCTTGATTAAGTTGTCAAGTTGAACCCACATTAGATTTCTGCATGTTGTTCTTTACTATGTGCAGGATGCTCACTGCTTGAGTGTGTTTTGTCCAGAAGCTGTGATGCCCCATTCCTGGAGGTGCTCGAGGCCACGTTGGGTGGGACCCTGGGCAGCCTTATCTGATGGGTGGCACTCCTGCCCACTGCAGGGGTTGGGCCTGGATGGTCTTTAGGGTCCCTTCCAAACTAAGCCTATGATTCTGTGTTAACAACCACTTTGTTATTAACCAATGGCTTTTGTAGTGTACCTTGGCTCTTATTATTCCTGGTTTCCCTTTCCTCTTACACTTGTACTCGAGTATCAGTCTTCACTGTGGAGCATCAGTTTTACAGAAGAATCTATCTAGCAAACAACAGCATTGTTTATTGATGGCTATTGTACTCACATTTCCAAAGTCATTTCAGGACATACGTAAAGCAAAATTTTTGAAAAATTCTCAAACCTTTCTACTCCAAAATTATGTGCTTTAACAGAAATCACCACTTAAAATTTTTTTTGTTTTTTATTTTTTAGGCTAGAGAAAATACTCATTGGGCCAATTCCTGAGCACAGACAAAACCTCTGGAGGTAAGACTATTACAATTGGAATCCCTTATCAGAGCTTGTAAGGTAAATCAGGCAATTATAGTAAAAGGGGAAGGTGGAATAAATTAGAAAACAAAGGGATACTATTTCTTTTTAAGATACTGTTTCTTTTTAATTCCATGTAATTGCTTCTACAGGAAATATTTATCATGCCATTTCCTCTGTGGAACTCCAGACTACTTTTATGCTCTGGAAATCCTAATTCTCACAAATTAAGTGCAAAGTGAATTTTGTCTATCTATCTATCTATCTATCTATCTATCTATCTATCTATCTATACATATAAAAATGAAATTAGAATCACTTCTTTTTAGTTCTTTAAAGCTGTGTATGCACAACTAGCAACTTTATGATTTCTCTTCCTTTTTTTCAGTAGCTGTCAGTTCTGAAATGAGCATTGAAAGCCAAAGTATTTATGTCTCCTAAATAAGTCTTAAGACTTATTTATATCCCCCCAAAATGGCAGAATGTTCATTCCACTGTCGATTATTATGGAAAGCAGTCACTTTTTTAGGTTGAAGTTATTCTCTCAGACTCCTGCACCAAGAAGTTAGCAGCGATGTTTTCAGATATTGTCTTTTTCATTTTATCTGCTATGTTATTACACCTGCTTCTTTTAATTCACTATTTTGTTTGCTGAAGTCTTCTTTCCTTAAAATAATCCTATTACCATGTGCAATTTGATGAAAACAATTAGACTGTATAGCTAATGGAAGAAGACTGTGACTGAGATGAATAACTTTATGTTTTGCTACAGCATAGAGATAGTGGGAAAATTCACAGTATTGTTGAGGAAATACTGATACTGGAAATCCCTATTAAATCAAAGCATTAAAGCAAATGCTGAAATCATTTTGTAACTTCAGTGCTAAAGATGGGTTGAAAATTGTTGAAAATGGCCAGTGCTGGCCAGTGGGTTGAAAATTGACTTCGTTGTAAGGACTCAGATGAAATGTTATGCTAAACTGAGAATACTGTTGACTTTCCTCACCAAAAGGGAGAAAACTCCAACGTCTGCACTTATGCTCTGCTAATGATAATAGTATTCTGTGTGGATTTCGTTTTTTCTCCAGGGATCACTTTGCCAGTTGATTTGGTCTGTGTTATTAAAACAGTGTGGAAAAGCAACCAGCAGTTCAGAGAGACCATAGATGATGACTTAGCATGTTTTAATATGGCTTTCATTGCAGGATACAAAATAATAAGATTTTAACATAAATGAACTGTTAATATTTTATCTCAAAAGGCATTACATATTTTTAATTTTTTTTTTTTTTTTTTGTTTATTTTCATTTGGATAGAGAAAATTCTGCATGTTAATTTTTGTTAGTGTTAATTTTCAAATAGAGCACATTGCTCTTGAAACACTCAATAAAATCAATATAGCCATTTCTGGTGACAAACACAGATTTGATGTGTTTTGCACAGTGGTCACTGACACATAATCTATCATGTTGCCTTACAAAAAAAAAAAAGAAAAAGAAAAAGAAAAAAAAGCCAGCAAAGTAGGTAGAAGTGTATTTCATCAGGCATCATCAGGATACTTCTGTATTTAACTATTTAAAAGTACCTTTCACATTATTACTCTTATTTTATTAAAAAAAGAATTAGCTATATTTCCTATTCACAAAAAATGGGCTGAATTTCCAGCTCATTATTTGTTTTGGCTCAACACTTGGACTTTGACAGGAATTGGAGAGGTTGTACGCTGTTGCTCAGACATCTGATTTCTATCAACAATTCTCCTCCCTTACATGGATCATGTAATGCTTGTTTTTATTGTGTTCAGGAAATTCATGCGCTTAAGTCTTGTCATCTTTCACTTTGCTCTTTAAATAGAACAGTTTTCTCTTTTGCTGAGGTACAGAGAGATTAAGTGAAAGTCTGAGGTCATGTACAGACTGTAGAAAACTGGAGCATCAATGATCTAAGTCTTAGTTAACTACTGGATTTATTCCTTATTTGTGATAGGTTTTGGTACCTGGAAGATACAGGAAATCTATATTTAACAATGGATGCAATAATTCACATTTATATAGTTATTGAAAACTTGTGTAGTCTTGAAATAGATATTTTTGTACAGAAATTAGAGTTTATAGTCCATACTTTGATTCTTTGGTTGAATTGCTCTTAATGGAGGACACGTGCTTTCAGATTCATTATGAAAGTTAGATTATTTCTTTCCTTCCTGCTGTGCTTCATCTTTTCCAGCCACAGTACAGTGACATTCATCACTTTCAAAGTGAGTTCCATGCTTCTTCGAGTCTATCTCATGTCCATTTCATTTCCTCCATTTTTTTCCCCCCTCACAACTGCTCAGGAACATGCTGTAGCTCACTTGGACCTCACGTTAACCAGCACAAACATGGTGACTGATTCAGGATCATTTGCCCCTTTCATCTGAAGAAAAGAAAAATCTCATTTCAATTAACTGCTCAAAGTGCATTCTGTAAACAGTGAATCACAGAATCATCAAGGTCAGAAAAGACCTCCAAAATCATCCAGTCCAACTGTGTACCTACCACTAATATTTCCCCACTAAGCCATGGCCCTCAATACCACATCTAAATGTTTCTTGAGCTCCTCCAGGGACAGTGACTCAAACTCCCTGGGCAGCCTCTCAGAGAATAAATTTTTCCTGACATCCAACCTGAACCTCCTCTGGCACAACTTAGACTCCTACATCTGTGTAGAATTAATTTAAATATATGACTTTGCCTTCCTGTTTTCTGAACATTGTCCCAAGCACAGAATCACAGAATCACCAAGGTTGGAAAAGACCTTCAAGATCATCCAGTTCAACCATCCACCTATCACCATTAGTACTCACTAAACCATGTCCCTCAACACAAAATCCAATGACTTCTAGTCATTCTGCCATTTAAATTTATGCATGTATTACCTGAAATGACTTAGGACAAATTTATATATACATATATGTATTTAGGAGCAGTTCTTCAGGCTGTTTTAATTAGTCTTTGAATTTGGCACTTCATTATATTAAGAGAGATTTATTATCACATGTGGTTACCATATGTCTGTATCTAGTGGTTATTGGTCAGCATTTATATTGTAGTGCCCTGGAGAATATTTTTTGCAAGCAGAAATTACAATTTCATGGATGAAGCCCTTGCTCAGCGTTACCCTATGAGTAGATCCTTTGTGCAGTCCCCATGAAATCTATTGCTTCCTGAGCATTACACTGTACCTTGGCATGCTAAGCTGAAATTTAACCCAAATAACCCTAGCTGAGTTAAGTGGGCTGTAGATGTAGATACTGACTTAGGGGAAAATTTGGCTACATCAGAACAGCCTCAGTAAGAGAGTGACAAGGACCTGTGGCATTTCACTTATGCAGGAAACACTAATTTGGTTGGAGAAGGTCTTGTGGCTTTCTGTAATGCAGGGTACAGGCAGAACAAGCTGACAAGTTTCTATGAAGGACTGGAAATGTAACTTTGGCTTTAAAATAGAATTAGAGTTGCCTGAACATTAATGGTGTTCAATTATTTAAAGATGTTTAAGCAAGTCTGTTACCTAAATATGCATGTATGGGGAAGGGTAGTAAAGAGTAGTGAATACAGGATTTAGCCTAATATAGTTATCTTGGGTTTTAAGTTGTTAAATACACATTACTATCTCTGGTTGCTTTTTGGCAGTCAGTGGTAGGTGGGTGTGAAACTGAAGATTTAATAGGACAATTTCCAGTCACTCTTGTGAACATTATGGCTATGCCAGGGTCAAAGAGGTTTTGAATTGTTTGTCTCCAGCTCTGAGAGAGAATCTGCTTGCCACCATCTGAGTCTGTTTAAACAAATCATAATACAGCAGATGCTATGCAACATAGATCACCCTTAAATATCCACCCAAGACTTCATGACCACCAAAGGCAAATATCTATCCTATATTAAATCCTTTAAACTAGTTGTAGGTTCTATAGAATTGTTTGAGTTAGGAGAGGCCTTTAAAGTCCATCTAGTTCAACTCTCCTACATCTGAAGCTGTATCAGGTTGCCCAGAGCCTTGTCCAGCCTGACTTTGTCTTGTATCTTTTTATTTTTTTCCATGCTTATATACAGATGAGGAGTTGTGTAAGTCTGCTATGAATTCAGCAAGTACAAAGTAGCTCAAGTCTTTGTTGAATGACATTATTTATTCTATTAATATTTAATGTGGAGGAACCAGTGAACTGCATAATTTGATAGAGATGTGTGTGCTGCTCCCCGAACACCTCTAATGCTGTCATGCCTTCTTCACTTTTTAGAAGTTATATGAAGGAATAAACACAAAATGCTGTGTTCTGATAAAAAGCACAAAGCAGGTTAATAGGATGTGGAAGAGCACACATTTTTTTCCTGGCAGTTTTTCTGTAAGTTGCTTGGGACTCACCAGGTCTCTTGGGCCTATTGAGCTCCTCAGGGGCTTCCTGTCACTCTCAGACGTGTTCCCATGACACAACATGACATGGGATGTGCCTTACAGATGCATTTTTACTTCTCCTGGGATTTGCAGTTCTCCCCACAGTGAGGCCCTAGCAGATACCAAGTCCGTCCTGGCAAGCAGTGGGGTGAGACCAGGTCACTTTGCTCTTGGTAGCATTGTTGCTGGTTAGGCTTTTCCATGCTTGTTAGATTTGAATGCTGACACATCTTTGGAGTCTATTATGGCAGCTCTCCAATGACATCATTTGCAGTCATTGCTGTAAGTACACTGAGGTTAGGTTTATTTCTCTGAATATATACTGTGAAACATCACCAATTCCATATTGCCTGTATGTTCTTTTCCCCAGATGTCTTAATTGTGTCCTGTTATTTGCTTCTGTCTGTGAGCTAAAAATCCATAACCCATTTGACCTTTCACTCTTCATGTCAATGCCTTGCATCTGTCCTTAGAAACTCAGTAGCTTCTCCCACTGGAGATACTGGCTCCTTTCTCTGCCTTTCTACCTGTGTGTCCTGTTGATAAGAATATGATAAAGACTA